TATCTTCCTAGTTTCGATCTTTTTAGGTTGGAAATGAACACAAACTTCAACAGGAATTTTGTCACACTTCCCTCTCCGTCATTTAGAGATTTTCAGGGATGCTTTAGAGGCAATGCTGACGTGGGCAACTTTGCTGCAGCCTGGGGGATGTTTTTAAAGGTAGTTATCCTTTATGGGTAAATAGAGGGGAGAGAGAAGTTCTGTAATTTTATGGCATGGCTCTCGATTTGTATCACTGTTAGCTAAGGGCACAGGCTCGTTGGCTCACACTGTGTTGTTTCACTGCTGTTACAGCTTGTGTGGCCATGTATTGCATGTTGGCCTGGGCACCTCTCCTGCTGCTGGCTGATAGCACTTGCCATCTGGAAAACTGACTTGTCATGGTAGTTGGAATCGCTCTGTCCCTGGCTGAAACAGTGCTGGCAGTGCAGGCTGCAATCTCCTGCGGATCTTCCCCCCAGCATGAGGAACATGCTGGGTTGTGCCACAGCTTCTGTCCTGGTTCCTGGAAATCTGTCTGGCTTTAAGTTTTGTATGAATATCTGAATTGGGATCTTCAGTATTTGTGCATCTCCAGTACAGATGCAACATTCCCAAAATGGGAGAAAATGAACAGTGTTACAGAAACAGTATTTTCTGTGTTTAGAAGCGAGATGGCAGCTGCATGGATTTTAAAGTCCAGAGGCCCTAGACATGTTCAGGATTCAGAGTTAACTCAGCACCGGTTAAGGGATAGAGTTAAATATCCTCCTTTAGCAATGAGATTGGAGACGAAGCCCTACATCAGTCTCAGTTTCTGGTCATCCAGTCTGTGCCATAACCACTGGAGACATTGCTGCTCAGCTCTGGGTAAGTTAATTCAATTGGTTACAGTCAGCATATTTCTTAAAAGTAGCAAAAGGTTAAACCAGAAAGTGTTGGGAGATCATCAAAGCTGATTCTAAAGGAAAGAGAGAAGTCTAAATGCAGGGGGGGTCGATGAGAACTTGTGAAATGGAGCCAAGGTTTCCCAAGGGAGGGAGGGGAGCCTACTTCCCACATGCTTTCTTGCACAGCTGCTGGTGTGGAAACTGCCAGTTAGCTTCAGTGAGCATTGAATCCTGCTCATTAGGCTGGGCCACGCACCCAGAGAGGCACTGCTCCACCTCTAACGCTCTTACAACTCCTGTGATTAGTCAGTGTAATTAGAAAGTCTGGATTCACTGGAAGAAAACTGCTTTGGTCTATGCTCTGGTATGGATTAAACTGAAAATCAAATTCCCATCATGTTTTGACTAATTGCTGTTGAAGCTTTTCAGCAAAATGTCAAAACTTGAAGTGAGGCCACATCAGAAAATTAAAGTACAGTAAGTACATGGCTGGTATTAAAAAAAAAAAAGCAAAAAAGCAAAAAACAAATGGGTAGATCTAAGGGAAAAGAAATTACTAAGTACAGTTGCTTGGGTTCTGTAAAATGAAATTTAAGTTCAGTATATTAAAACACATGTGGTCTGTATTTGAAAACATTCTGTGTAAAGGCCTCATAGCAAAAAAGGGAAAGATGTAGCTGAAGATAAACTCTCATAGAGAGCACAGGTCATGGATCAGGCATGAGAAAGAAAATCTTAACTCTGGATCGAGTGTAGCGAGTGAATATTCTGTTATTAACTTTGGTAGGTTTCAGAGCATATTTTTCCAAACTGTTGGAGTAAGGGCTGCTATCAGCCTGAGTGGACTTCAGTTCAGGACTGTGCCAAGCAAGAGAGGCAGTTACAGTGCTTGGATTCTACTAACTCAGAGGGCACTGGAAATTACAAAGCTGACTGAAGAGGTACCAGCAGAAGGTACCACAGCAACATTTTTTGGTTTTATTAGTGAGACCGAAGGTAAATCGGTGATTATTGTCTGCTATAGAATAAAGCAGCACTGCCCCAGATAATAGTTTGCCTAAGAAAACTGTAATTTTTCAATTTTCATCTCAGAAAAAGCAAGGGCCCTGCACTTTTACTTGAATTTCATGTGCGCTGCCGGCAGTGGCCTTTAGAAATGATTTCATTGTGTGATTTCTGAAAGAGAGATATTGAACAGGACGTTAAGCTTCAGGTCTTGACACACTAGAGGAGTGTGTTTGAGGCCTTGCTTGAGTGAAGGAGGGCAAGATCTGTTGCCCTGACTTTTGAGAAGGTTGCCTCTTACACCACACCTGAGGTGTCCTACTATTGTACTTCAGTGCAACTTTTGCACAGCTGGATGCAAACTAAAGTCATTATCTGCAATGCATGCACGTAGGAAATTTTGTTCCTCTGTGCAATTCTGCTGCATTAGTTGAGATAGCTTGCAATAAACGTTGGGAAGATGGGATTACAGTCAGTTTAATGTTTCAGTGCATCCAAATTGACCGTGACATAATACTACCTTGCAGCAAATGAGCAAGCAGAAGTTCACCAGTGATGATTACATCAAAAGCAGTCTCCTGTTTTTCTAAGCTGCGGCCTAAGCCATTTCTTAGAAGTACTGAGACAATTGCTAATCTTAATGTCCTTCACCAGGGATCAGAAGCCTGGGGACATCATTTCTTTGCTACTTTGCAAATCAGTCAGAAATCTTCAGTTTTGATTGCTGCCTTGAGTGGTGAGAGTGTGCTTTCTTGGTATTACCAGTCTGTGTAGATGGCATCAGTGGTACATGTCCTAAAACAGTCCTGTGATTTGAGTGTCATCTCTGCAGGTGGCATTTTCAATGCTTATCAGAAGCCTAAAAAGGCAGAAAGCATATTTCAAACACACATATCCTTCTTTGGTACCAGGTGGGACATACATATATAGACAAGAGCCACATAAAACTTGGAAGACGTGAAGAATGTTTTGAGTCTGGCTGTCGTTCGTGCAGTAATACAGATAGATCATCCTGCTGAGACCAGCAAATGTGCTTTGTGGAGCTGTGGGTGAGGAAAAGTTTACTCTGATGTCTTGTAATTTGTTGAAGACTGATGAAACATAGCTCTAGGTGTAACCCAACTAACAGTTCAATGTGATACAATTGGAATGAATTATCCTGTGATTGACTGTCTGCCGGGGAAAGGGAAGGCCTTTCAGACAGACCTATTTGCAGAATGCCAGGCCCTAGGGATCCTTTCTGCTAGCCCTTTGTTCACAGTCCTCTTCTCCAATATCTGCCATGACGGCTGGCATTTTTTATTCTTCCACTTTACACCTGCTTTGTGTTAACAGCCAGCAAAAAGTGAAGTATGACAAAGAGAATTTGTCATATCATTGCATTTCTAATACACCCAAGGTAGGATGCTGATCAGTCACACATGGGTGGCTGGCTCGTCAGGGAATACAGTTCGTGCACATACCTTGTTGCTGAAAGCAAGTTGAAATCATCAATTTGCAGGTAGATTAAGGAATCTTATAGCATTCCCTTGCTGAAAGCAGTAAAGTGGTCCATTAGCAAACATGGTTGGGTTATTTCAGTGGGTTACTTTCAAATTCTGAATTCCTCCTCGTTTCATAACTTGAGGAAGAAAGAGCACTTCAGGTACCACTCAGGACCTTCACTGAGACATAAGTCAGGAGATGAGCACCCCTGTAAAACCCGTTTGTACTGTTTATTATTTCCTAAGGAAGAGATTCCCAAACAGGAACAAATCCTGGCTGCTTAATTGTTTCATTCTTGGAAAGAAATATGTCTTTTTTTGTAAGTCCATTCAGTCTGACTTTTGAAATAAGAGCTGACCCTGCTCATGCTGGTAGAGGTGAACATGGTATCTGTAAATGAAATAACTTTAATTCTGTATGCAGTATTTCTATGCTGTATCAGTATCACTGTTTCTCACAAAGGAAGCATTGTCCATAGATGACTGAAAAGCATATCAGGAAATGTAACAGTAAGGGAAGGATTCTGTTCAACTTTTATTTAAAAAAACGCAGCACAGTTTCCATCTGATGTGAATTACGTTGTACACTTTATACATTTTTGTTCCAAACTAACAGCACTGAAATGTTTGATTATAGCAGATGCTTATCTTATTTTTTCCACGTGCACAATAGTCTCCAATTTACTGAAGGAAACCTGGAAGAGCTTAAAGATTTTTAAGAAAGGGTGCAAGTAGTGTTCATGAAATGCCTTCTGCTCAGTAGATCAGACAAAGAATACCAAGATTCCAGCCTAATTCTTAGGAATAATCTATCAGCCTGCCTTGTAGGTGATTTCTCTTTAGGCAATTGAAAATGGGAATGGTGGGTGAGAGCAGCAAGAGTGGGAAGCTGCTGTAGCACAACACAGAACAGGTATATGGAGGTTCTCCTTCAGGCATAGCAGTGAGCCTTGAATTGTGCTGCTGGATTGAAGTCACAGCTGAGTATTTTACAGCATCATTTAAATTACATCAGTGATGTTCACCTGGTCTCAATGTGTTTACCAAGCTTAAGTGAATACTCATTCAAATCTGTAGGTAAGTCTTCGCAAGTGGTGGGCTTGTTAAATTGGTTTGTTGCTGTACATGTACTACATACACGTGCTGGCACAAAGGAAGAAGTTGAGGTGTTCAAAATCCTGAATGCTTTAACCTGATAAGAATCCAAATATTTAAGCAATTTCTGCTGAGTTGGAAAAAAAAAATAAAAATTGAACTTAGAACGTTTTTTCATAGAATAAAAAAGTCTAAAAGCAGTGAGCTGAGCTGCCCTGAGGCTTCCAAGGAGACAAATCCTGATGTTGTGCGTCTGGTGTTACCTCTGCACAAAGCTCCAGGGGTGCACAGGAGTATCCCTGAGATTATCCCCCAAAAGAGACATGGTGAGTAACCAGCAGCAAGCCTGCCTGATGCTGGGGACATGGCCTTGGAGCCCACAGCCTGCAGCACAGCTGTGCCAAGCAGGCGGGGTTGGGCTGGTAACGTGCAGCAGGTGCTGGTCCTCCTGCAGCTGGAGGTGATGAGTATGAAGAGGGCTGGCCTCCACATAGGGCAGCTTCAGCCTGAGCTGTGGCACAGTTTCTGTGCCCTGTTTGAGGGCTGTAGAAGTTTGATTTTTTGCTTTTGTCTCCAGCATGGCAGGATGTGGTTTGTTCTTGATGCTAGCCTCATCTCCATCCTCTGAATGGGTGAGTACAAGGCTTTTCTGTGCAGTGTGAGTCGGGCTGCCTTGGGATGGTGTGTTGATGCGTGTGTGAGAATTAGCAATGTCTTTGTGTTGAGAGGAAAAAGAACAAAATCCTCAAAGACTTCAAGTGTTAATTCCTCTACAAGCCTAGCTTTGATTCCACTTGTGCAGAATGTGTTCTCGCAGACCTGGGAGTGAGAGAGAAGCTTACTAATTAATGTTTAAAAATACCTCTACAACTGCTCTGAAATTGCTCTTTCAGTGCAGAATAACTGAATAATTCTAGGGCTTGATATGTGAAGATCTTTAAGCTCTAGCAGTAATTCCAATAGGAACTCTTTCTTTTCTTCCAGGGGCATTTAAAGGGGAAGTTTTTGGAACAGGTTTGAAATCTGTTTGCTCTTGGTCTTCAGCCAGTGCAGTTTTTGTAGGGGAAAATAGTTATTCCGTTCAGCGAACACAAATGCTTTTCTTTGGGGAAAATGGCAATAATTTTCTGCTCTGAACTGGTGTGTCTGAGTCTGAGCACTAAACATCATCAGTGAATGTTGAATATCTAATCTGTATAAAAGCATAATTGCCAGTTTTCTGCCCAGGTGGATGGTGATGTAAATGGAAATGATTGATCCAGAAAGCGGGAGGGATATATTTGAAATAATTTGAGCCTTAATGCTGCAAAATGGCTCCTTCCTTACACTGCAGGGCTTGTTGAGAGTATGCAAGCTGTAATGGGGCAGGCTGTAAGACCACATGTATGGACACAATGCCTACTGAAGCACCTAGCAAGGGAGAAGCTTGGTCTCTGCTGTGGAGTTTTTGTACAGATTAAGAGCATATATTTACTATTATATCCTATTGGTCCTGAGCTGATTAAGCTTGGCAAAAATTTTATAAGGCTGATGAAAGTTCAGTGTCCAACAAATGTATCTTTCTTGGAACGGCATGCAGAATTCTTGCTAATTCACTTTGTATCATATTTGAGGGGAATGTGAAGAACTGCATCTGGAAATCTACAGAGGGTATATCCTTCAGCATGTGCATGGCCCTGCTGGTGCTTAACAGATTTGATCATTGCAAAGATAAGCAGTGCAAGAACTGCTTCCAACTCTCAGCTGAGAAGCAAGAGTTGTGGCATGCAAAGGTCAGAGTGTGCAAGTGTGTTAAAATTAGACACGTCTGTCCAGATCTGATAAAGCATTTGGATGCATTTACTAATTTTTGCATGCTTTAGTGTGAACACTTTAAGTATTCTATCACTTACAGTGTGGAGCTGGTACCTTACAGCTGCTGCTGTAGCAGAAACCAAGAGTGTTATAAACAACAAAATTTCTGCTACAATTTCTTGTGGCTAACATCACCATAAAGCTGGAAAATGTAAATCAGAAATAAAATACCAAGAAACCTTTTGAAATTGAAATGTCATGAGGTTTTTCTTGTTAGCTGTGCTCTGCTGCTAACAAGATGGCCATTCCTATTTTTAGCCTAATCAGTGAGGCTGAGACCATCAGGGTGATCAGAGAACTCAGGTGTGCCTTGCATGCAGGGGAGGCAGCTAGCAGAGGGCATGTGCTGGGATTCTGGAGGAGCATGAAGTTCGGGAGATTTCTGGCATGTGTTTAAGCTCGTTGTGCTGTGTCCTATGTAAGAACAGAGCAATGAAAACTTATCTGCTCAAATACTGGAGCTTCTCAGGAGCTTCTTGGCATTGCAGCTGTTACTCTGTTATTTCCTCCCCTTGGCTCTATGGTGGTGGTGAACTTTTGTCATACAGCCCCTGGTGTGGACCAGGGGGGAGAGATGCGTGTGGTGTCCCCACAGCAGGATCCTACTGTTTGGCAGTGTACCTCACAGTAAGAGGTTATGCAGAGACTACTAAGGATGGAGGAGAGCTGGGTTCTGCTGTGTTCCCAACATTGCCATGTTTACTGAGGTGTATGCAGATCCCCCCCTTCCACTTTAGAGCCAGGCTGGATGCCTGGTAAGCAGTGGCTTTTTCTCCAGACTTCTCTCACTGAATACACTCTTCAAGGGCTGCTACTTTCTTTGCACTTGTTGCATTTTATGTGCTGCTCTTCCCTTTGCTTCACTCCTCTTTTAGTACAAGAATTGTCTTAGTGCTGGAGGAGTTAACTGCAGCATTGTGCAGCTGCCAGGCAGCTGGTTGCTTGTCTTTTTTGTTAAAAGAGGAGACAGGATTGTAAACATTCATCTCAGAGGTATGATTATGCCCAGACCACAGTAGCTGCAGAAATCTTCCTACAGTGTACTTTGGCAGGGCTGAGTTGATTAATGAAGCGAGAAGCAAGAGGAGGAAAACTTTGGGAAACTACTCTGCTGTTCTGAAATACCTAATCTAAATTAGTATTCTAGTGTAAGTTGTCTGCTTTAAATTTGGACTTGGGGGAGAAAATATGCTGATACGTATGGGTTGTCTGATTTCCTTTCCGAGCTCAGCAAGACTCTGTGCCAGTGAAGGGCAGCAGGAAGCCTTGAGCAGAAAAACTAGAAGCTTAATGTTTCTAGCTGTTGAATGAAGTAATTGGGCCATTAAGGAAATGACCACAGGACAAGAGTATCAGCATCTTGAAAGCCCTTCAACTTATCCACTGCTGTCAGTGCTTAAGAAGTGCTGTGTTGATGTAATGAGCGCTTGAACTCGCAACTTCTTAATGTATTTAAGGGAAACAAGACCACCCTGAGTAGCTGTAGCTTTGCTTTCAAAAGAAGTTATGATTATTGAAATACTGTCACGTGCTTTGAATCACTCAGTTCTGTGGCCAAGGTATTGCAGCCTTTCTACAGAGCCATTAATTTTAGTGGCTAGGCCTCAAATGTTCTTTCCCATTTTTAGGCAGTTTGGCAGCAGAGCCGAGCATAAACATATCTGTGCGTATTTTCCTACTGCAATCAGTGTCCTGGTACTTTCAATGTAAATACTCTGAGATCCTACATCTGATAGTGGCCATGAGGCTGGTAAAGTACTGTGCAGTTGAAGGTGTTCCTGTCTCTGCACTGCTCCATCTGCCGTCCCTGCTAGCTCTGCTGGCTGACATGGCCCTGCAGCTGCATGGTCTGAGCACTTTACCTGAAAAAAAGAAGTATTTTTTTCTTTGCCACGTGCCAAAGCGTGTGGGAATATGATGAAAAGTAATGACAAGTTGAAAAGCTTGGTGTGTAGAAGTCCTTAATGCTGTCAGCATGCTGATGTTAGAGACCTCGCTGTGTGCTGGGTTAACTTTTCTCAAGTGGCTGAAGAAAAGCAAAATACAAATGCTGCTTTCTTGAAAGTGGATACAACGTTTTAAAAGGTGTTTCAAGTTAAATGCACACAACTTAAGCCACCTGAAATATTGATTTTCAATTTCTTCCACCTGGAGGTAAGGGATAATGAGAGCCCACACCAGCACTGTGTGATTAACTGGCAGTAGATGTAAAATATCTTAAGAAAAGGTCAGTCATTCTGCAGAAGTTTTGTAATGAAAATGCCATCTATGTAGAAACACCAGCTGCACTTGAATTCCAAAGTTTGGAGTAACTTTGTCATTTGAAAATGTTTGCTACTATGATGATGCATGTGAATTGTGCTTTCATGAGCCCTCATATTCTGCAGTTCAGAGCTCTGTGTTGTGGATTTTGTTGTCAATCTGCTCAAATTCATTTTGTGCTCTCCAGCATTAACGTTTTCTTGCTAATGTTTTCTAAACCACATCCAGCTCAGCCTGTGGAAAATAAAGCAATTGTTTAAATTGATGGTTTTGAACAAGATAAATCAGTACGTCGTGTTTGCAACCTCTTCTCATTCAGAAAGTTTGCTTTTTGTTCCACACCCCCTCGGAGTACGACGGTAGGGCGTAGATTGGAAATATGCAAGAAAACGATGCCACCTGCAGGCGCTGGGCTGAGGGTGTGCTTCTCACCAGGGACGGCTCTGGAAAAGCTGCTGAACTGTCTCGCGTTGATTTGCAGGTGATGAAGATACTTGTGCACGCATACTTCTTGTATTTCAGCAGTGAATGTTAGAGATCGTTCTTCAAGAACGTCTGTGTTCATCTCAAGGGTGTAAGTAGAAATGACTCGGATGAAGCAGGCTCAGTGGTTTAAAACTTCCCTTCTTGTTGCCTTCACAGAAATAAGGGCGTGCAGCCCTAGCAGTTTCTGAGGACCCCTGCGGGCCAAAATTCAGATGCTTTGGTGTATTGTTTTAGGTGTTAGCTGGTACTGACCTCATAATAATTTATGTATGATAGTACAGAGTTCTATTTCCACTGAGGTTGGGCTAGTTCAGAAAATCTGTTCAGGTTTTTGACTGCTTATTAGTGTGATTTTAGTTGTGTATGACTGTGCTCAACTCAAACGTCTCAGGTTGCATAAACAGTGCAGTAGCATTGCCAGAAGCAAAGCTGCTTTTGAGTTTGGGAGTACCTACAAATAAACCTTGAAAACAATGAGAAAGCATTGGATGGGGAATGATTTAAGGGGAACAAAACAAAGTAATGGAAGACATGAATGTGTTGCTAATTACCTGCCATTCTGATTTCTGAAGTAATTTTTCATCCATGAACTATGTGGTCAAATGTAGCAGCAAACCAAGAAGGTATGTTCTAGCTTGTAGGCATGTTAAATACTGGGAATTGATGTTATGTCATTGCTGCTACAGGTTTCCTGTTTAGAATCATTGTGCTGTAGCTTGAGGAGAGCTGCTGAAGCTGGATTGTTCATCATTAATCGTAATTGCACCAAGATGATCTTCACTAGCTCTGCAGACTTATTTCCACTTGAAATTGGTAGAAGAAAGACTAGGAACAATTATCTGATATTAATTACATCAAAGTCTTTGAGTTCTCCTAGTCCTTAAAATCTTTACTTTCAAGTGTAAGTGTTCAGGCACAGTGGGCTGAAAACTCTTAGCAAGTACACAAAACTCAGTCCCTGACACAAAGTAATTGTTCAATACCAACTTTAGTGAAAGGGGAGCAGTCCACAGCTACGATTTCATTGGGTAATAATGCTGTGAGGATGGAAAGGAGATGTGGTTTTAGTATGGCATGGTTACCTTTAGCACACTTAAGGTTTGAGCTCTAATTTTGCAGAAGGAGCATTTTTGATGGGTAGTTACTATTCCAAATTAGGCTGGAAAGTAAAGGAATCCTTGTAAAGCTGCAGCCCAAAATGGGCTCGAGTAATAACTCATGTCAGGTAGAGAAGCTACGAGTTTGAGTTTCCTTTGTGTTTTGAACTACAGGGACTGAGTCTCACAGTGCTTAGGACGTTAGTTTCACTTGCTTTCATTTCTCAATGCCTATTTTCATGAGTTCAAGCAGCATGTAATATATTCATGACCTTTACTTTTCCCTATGCTCACTGGAATCCAGGCAAAGAATTCCAGGTTAATGGAAGGGAGCAGACCAGCACACAACATGATTGTATATGAACCTGATTTTCACAGGAATCCTGGCAAAGGAAGTTGGAGTACTCAGATACAAATGCATACATCCTTTGCATTGCTCCTATTTGATTTAACACCCCAGTGTCTGTGGAACCACAGATAGAATTTTTCCTCTGAGGGTAACGTGAATAGTAGCACCCATGCTCTTATAGCAGGGCCGTAATATGTGAAATTTATAGTATGTGCTAAAATACGAGAAAAATGTATGTTTTGACTGAAAGCTATACTCTGCACAGCCCCTGGAGGGCACCAACAGCCAACATTACATTTTTTTACTTGCCTTGTAGTTATTACTGACTGTCACAGAGTGCTATGAAGATGGCAGATATATCCCCCACGTATAGGTTAAATGGAACGTGCTTCACCTCACATAATTTGGAAATTCAAAAGACCAATTTCTTAGTGTAATTGAAAACCACTACATTTCAGGCTTATTCACTGAATCAGTATTTCGTGTTAGAATCCAAATTCATCTTTCTACCTTTAATCAAAATAACGAGGGTGTAGTTATATTTACTCAGCCTTTTGACAATCAAGTTCAGTGTAGCTGCATATGATTAAGTACACACACACACAGCCACAAAAGGTTAGCACGGGCATGACTCAAGTCATGAGGGAAATCCATCTCGTAAGGCTGAAAATCTGAACTGACAGTTCAACACTCAGCCTAATGCCTGAGTCCCTCTGGAAGGGAGAAGTAAAAAGGAAAGGAGAAAAGGCAAAATGACCAGCCTGACATAAGAGCCCTGTCAGTTTGTATGTACTTCCCTCTGGATTTTATTTTTTTTCTATTTAGCCTGGAGTCCTCTTGCTTTAAAGTTGCATTAATGCAACTTTCCTGAATTGCTTCCAGCACCTGTCAGAAAGTGACGTGGCATCCAAATGCATTTGCAGTGCACTTCTGAGCTTCTGTATTCTGTGTGGACCAGTCAGCTGGAAACATGTATTTGAAGTGTGCACGTGGAAATGTTTATCTGGAGCACACCCCACTCTGCACCTCAGGCATCTGATGGGGTGGGTAAGCTGGGTGCTGACACCCTTAATTCTCTGGGATGGTGGTGGGTTTGAGGAGCTCACCTCTATGAAGAGAAGTAAAAGGGGCAGATTGGCTGGATAGTATCATCCACTTGGGCATTATAGTAATGAGGATCAGATGCCTTAATTGCAGCTCAAATCTAATTCCAGTGTTATTTATGGGATGTCCTATCTGGCCTATGTTATACAGGAGATCAGCGTGAAGAACCTCATTGTTTGCTGTGATAATACAAAAGCAATTTGGCACAAGGACACGTTTGTGAGAAGAAGCTATTCTGCTCGATGGTGTTTTTGCAAGAAGCTGAATAAATCTGGATGCCCAGCAGTGTGCTGCTGTTTTCCAGCACTTCACTGACTGGGTTTTCTGTAGCCTCAAACTGGCAGCTGTGTGCCCTCTAGCTGGGGCATGGTGGATGCATGGGCACTCTGGTTTTCCCTGTAGGCTGATCTGCAGGGAAGCAGATATGACTTGTCCTTTCATTCAGCTGGCATTGGCCTTTGCTGAATGTAAGACGTTCAGGGGGATTTTCCTTCTTTCTGGGGATGGAAGGAATAAAAAGTTTGTCAGTAGGAATGCTTGATGGTCAAACACGGCTTAACTTCAGTGAGCTTATGGCCTCAAGTAGTGACTTACAATCCAAGTGAGCTGATACTCTTTCATTGCCAGTGAGGCCAGGCTGTGTTTCCTTGCACTTGTTGGCCATGCTTGTAGACAGCTGATGCGCAGGAGCTGCTTAAGCTGTGCCCACTTGATTTGTGTGTGAGCGTGAGGTCACATACAGAGGTACTCCTCAAAGACAGTGGTGTTAATTACTCACTGTTCCCGCATCCAGGGATTCTCTGAGCTGGGGCTGTAGGTGCGTGTTTAGGTTGCCTGTCTCTGCTTCCCAGTTAAATCGAGCTTGCCAGCTGTCTTGTCCAAACAGGCAAGAGTCAATTTTCTGGTAAGCTTCTGTTTTGTGCTCTATCAAGCAGTCAGTGGCTCATGCTCCGTTACCTGAAACTTGTGTTTTCATTTATGCTTCTGCAAGGTATGAGTGAATACTGTTTTACACGTCTCTGAGTATAAACATGATTATGTAACACCTAAAGAAGAGTGGTGTACTTCTTTGGCTGTTGTGCTGACCGTTCTCTCTGTTGTTCCTTTACAGGTCCGTGCTGGTTTTTCTCTGCATCTGTCCGTGTTGCATTGGTGGGGTCAGTAAGCACAAGCTGGAAATGGCATACAGATTGTTTTAATTTGCACCAAGGGCATCTTTGCCTCTATGAATAAGAAATTTTTGAAAACATCCTTCATCTACAAAATTGAGTGCTCCTAGTTTCCAGTTCTACAGTACGTTGTCAGCAGGATCAGAGCTGGGCCTACAAGGTGAGTGTGAACAAATTTAGAATGTATTCATCAAACTAATGTGTGTTGTTTGTTGTTCTGTAACTCTAATTGGACTGTGGTTTTAACACTTCAAGTGGTAACGTCCTTCAACTGTTGAAGGAACATGGCAGCGTTGGGTGGTATTTGCTGGTTCTTCTGTCATGGCTGTGGGTTGTGAATCTTTCTCAGAAGAAATCAGTGACTTTCAAGTGTGACAAAAAAGGGATAAAACTTGCTCGGGCGATCCCACAAGCACTCTTCATTCTGCTTTTAACTTGTAGGGACTAAGCAGTGTCATCTGTCCCTAGTCAATTCCCTGAACTCTAACTGTGCTCAGCATAAACTAAAGAGAGAAGAGATTCTGTCCTGTACCCTTTTCTTGAAAGGCTGGCCACTGAGCTTGCTGAGTGAAGTCCTCCCCTTGAGTTGCTAAGGAGTTCTGTTCAGGATGGTGTTCTGAGTAAGCTTTTCAGTGACAGACTGGATTAATTCCAAGGAAGCCCCTTTATTCTGTTGCCTAGTTAATAATGTGTCTCTTCTCTTTAAAAAATAAATAAAAAAATCAATGTGTACTTAACTGATAGCTGAAGTAGCCTCAAAAACACCATTTCAGTCCATGAGCTGCATAATAGATGTTTTATTGCTCTGAAAATCCTAACTAGACCAAAACTTCTTATATGTGAGTTTGCATTATCATTCCAAAGGACTCAGATGGTTATTTTGTGACATTTTTCTTCTTGGAGAGATTGGATAGAAAACACAAAGTGAAGTATCCCAGCAAGTTAAGCGAACTAGCAGAGGTAATAACCTTCTTCTTTCCCTTTCTGAAAGGGATTTATAACCAAGATGAAACCTGCAGTAGTACATTGAGGTTATAAAGCTGCTATCCAGCATTACCTCATCCTTAAACAGCTGTTAACAAACAAGCTGCTCTGGAAAGCAGTTTATGTGACTGTTCCCTTCTGTTCAGTAATGCAGGGTAAAGTAAGGTTTTACACTAGGATTTGGGAGAAAATGTCATCTAACACTGTCACTGTACAGCACTGGCCAATCCTTTTCACTGTGCAGTTTCTCATAACGAGGTAAGAACTGAGATTTTTAACATGAACTTTTGCCATTGTAAATTCAGCTGATCATTTTAATAGCTACTGGCACCTTGTTTTGCAACACCTTTATTTTAGAGAGAAGAAAAACAGGTTATTGTAGAGTTTGAACAGTTGTGAAGTGTCAGGTCTTTTTTGATTCATTTTTGTCAGCATAGGCGATTGAGTTGGTGAGTCCTAAAGGAAGCATCCCAGTAAGAGTTTTCTCTTGTTTGTTGTTCGTTTGTATTTATTATTGTTATTTCATAATGAAGCTTCAGGAGTTAGCTGTAAACTGGTGAGCAAAGCCATGTGCCACTAATGATGAAGTACTCTGAGGGGTCTAAAACTTGGGCTATGATGAGATCAAAATACACATCTTGTAACATGAACAAGAATTGTTTTGATTAAAGCTGAGGCTTTAAATTAATTTGCATGGGATCTAGATGAACCTGTGGGATCAAAGCAGGTTGCATTGTAAATAGGTTCAGAGTGATGCTGAGGGAACAGAGCTCATGTCACAGGCTGAGACTGACCTCCAGCAGAAGTGTGCAGGCTGTGATGCAGGTGGTTTATCTTCTACAGAGTTCATGACTGAAGAGCAGCTTGCAGACAACTCAGTTCAGTTATATTTTTGATGGGGTTAGAGGTAGTGTAGAGACAACTGCATGCTACACGAGATGGACATTTCATGCAGTGTAGTACACACCTGGTATGGGAGGACTGCTTTGGCTGAATGTGAAGTGTCTGTCATAAGTCAGTTGTAGCCACAATTAATAACTAACTGTAAGGCCCTTCTCTTCCTAGAGCCCAAAAGATTTGTTAATGTAGTTCTAATTGCAGATTTTCAGAAGTATGGGTGTTTGTTATATACAGGACAAGAGTAACTAGGAGTATAGATACCTTAAGATCACTGCCAGCTTCTCTAGCAGAAATGATTGCCACAAGTGGAAACTTTATTGAAAAGATATTCAATCTTCTTACGGCTATGAACTAGATTTTAGACTGGAGATTCTGTTTATCAGTAAGGATTGTGGAAGTCTTCTGTTTGTATTGAAGGTAGAATGAACTGAATCAGATATTAATCAGAACTGGTTTGGGAGCCTTCTCAGTAAATGACTTGGAGAAGCTGGATGCAAGATCTCTTCCAAAATGCTGTCTAAATCCTTTGTTTTTCCCAGAGATCAACCAGTTTAGGCATCAAGCTATGTTAGACCTATAACACCTCTGCAAAAACAAAGTCTTTCCAGTAGGCAATTTGAAATATTTAAAGATCTCTATATTTCAAGGATGATTTTGACAAAAAAAATTTGTTCAGAAATGTCCCTTAGTATATTTGCAATACAGCTAATCTACCACTCTTCAGAACTGGCTTGCAAACCAAATAATAATTACTCTAAATTCTATGCATGTTTTCTCAGCTGCATAAAGATGACAGTTGCTACAGCAGGGAAACAAATAGCTCTGTGGTACCTGAAAATGACAATTATCTTGCATCAATTGTGAGTTCCTAGAGAACATTGGAAACAACATTTCACATTATCAAATCCAGTTCCAGACTTTGTGGGCAACCACATAACAGAATTGTGGTAGAATAATCTGAAAAGGTGTTGGAGAGGTCGTGTAACGCATCCATCAGCCCCAAGGCAGGATCAACTGTATATTAATCCTGACAGATATTTTTTTCAATCTGTTCTGAGAGATCTCCTATGGTGGAGAAGCTCTCAGCTAATCAATTCTGCCTCCTCATCCCTGACATTGGAAAGACTTTCTTAATGTTTGCCCTAAATCTTCCTCCTTGTAATTAGTCAGGAAAACTGAGTAACTTATCTGTCCCAGGTATGGATAAAAGATTATATTTCACTCCTTGCATGTGAAGATGTTGCAGCCCCCCAGTGAGCCTCCTTCTCTTTAGGGTATGCAGCTCTAATGTTGTTAATCTTCCTTTGTGTCATGTTTGGTGAATCTCTCATTAGCCTGGTTGCACTCCTGCTGCTCTCCCTGGTTAGTTTGTATTTCTCTTGATCCAGAATATCTTTCTCGCCTGTCTAAAACAGAACCCATAACCCACCTTTGATTCAGTAACAGTTAAAAGCATTTAGTATTTACTATTTTACTTAAGTAAAAGAATTATTATTATGGAAATGCATTTTTTTCCCCTGCAATTGGGAGATTAGTATTCTGTAATAACAAAAGTAATGCAGAATATCAGTTAGGAGACAGGTGTATGAATGCACTGCAATGGGTGTTCTAGAGCCAGTCTTCAAAAGTACTCAATCTTATTGTTTTTCCTCAGTGATTTGGATCCAAGCTGCTTTGTCTCTGACCTTTTTTTTAACTGACATTTACCTTCCTCCCTTCCCATTGGTAAGCACCTTTTCCTGTTTGTCTTGTGAATACCCAGTGTGTCTAGTAATGATTGCTATTTTTTTGTGTGTGTTTCAATTCTTTATAACAAGTTCTAAATCTCACAGCCGGTGTGCAGTGCTCCCTGGCTCTGAAGATGCTCGGTCCTCATTTGCACACACTCTGACATGACAGCCTGTTTCATGACAAATGCCATGTATCGCTGATGGTGCCACGTGAAACTTCTGTGGTGTCTTTTCTTCCTCCTGCAATTAAAGCTTTCATCTTTGTTACTGCCTTTTGTTTCTTTTGAGCTCATCAGGAGAGGAATGTCAAATAGTATTTGAAATTGCAGTCTTGGCTAAGACAAAACATAAAAATGTGAGGTAGTAATCACATTAGATCAGCGTTCAAAAGCTGGTAAGTAGGCTGGCCAAATAATTTGCCCTCATTTCAAAGCAACAACTTAAGATCCTATGGAACCAGGTATTGCACTAAGCAGCTTTGAGAAAGCCAGGCTCAATTAATCAAGGTGGGACAATATAAAGCTGCGATGGTAGAACCTGGAACAATTTGTTAGTCACTCACAGCTGAGGAATGCAGATACCCTGCTAGAGATATAACTGACAATGATAAAATGTCAGTAAAAATTTGAGATTAAAGAAGACCATTTGATCCCTTAAAACCAATCCAGAAGTTGCCACTCACCCTCTGGCTCTCGCCTGGCAAGTGACACCATAAGGCTGCTCTGAGCATGGTAACAAACTGGAGATCTTTAACACCAAAGTAGAAAAAAAAAATTGGAAGTGCCAGAGGGGAAGAAAAAAATATGAAGCTCTTGCTGATGTCTTGAACTACTGAATTAGCAGCAAATTTTCTAGCTAAAAAGTCTGGCTGGTGCTAGGAAACAAGTTGCTTTCCCAACTTCAAAGTACCCATCAGGCAGTCCAGCGAGGATAATTCCTTCCATGAGTGGTCAGTTTAGCTCTCACATGTGTGAGTGAGACATTCTATGTGGATCCCTGCAAGATTTTTTTTTTTTTTTTTTTTTTTTTTTGTCTTGCATTTGAGTTTCTGAGCGCTGAATGTTCTTGGTTTAAGGTGAGAAAATACATTTTGGGAAGGTTTTTATGGAAATTGCTTCTGTGACAGGGCCAGAAATGAACCTTTCTGTGCTGCAATTGCAGAAGGAAATGACCACCTGAGTTATAGCTGAATGAAATTTACCTTATTACCTAAGCTATGGTTATTTTCTCAGCAACTTTGTTCTTCAGGATGTGTGCCTGGAGCTTCTAGAAAAGGTTGTCACTTTTGAGTGTGACTTGATCTTTCTCAGCAAATTTCCTCTCATCGTTGTGCTTGTGTAAAGGAGGTGCTACAAAGCAGTCAAGGCAGAGAAACTTCATAAGGAGATATTGGGCTCAGTGTTACACTTGCAAAGTGTGCTGCATCTGTATCACCCCTGATTAGAATGCATGCATGGGTCTGAAGGCGCTGAAGCTGTAACACTTAGCCAGTTTTTGTAAGGCTCTGGAGCTTCTGAATTTGCCAAGCTGGCTTTCTGAAGAGTTT